GTCCTTTTAGTACTACTATTAGTGTATTATTTTTGTACAAAAACTGACAATTCAATATGAGTACTACCTGACAACTTTATATTTTAAGAGACATTATTTCAGTATGAATTTACGAAGTTGTTAATGTTTAATATTTTTTATTATATTTGTAATAACTTTTTCAGTCAGCTTATTAAATTGAGGTTATTTAAAGCAAATAATTTACATAATTGAAGAAATTGGACTTTATACAGATGAAGCATGGTTTATCCATAAAATAAAAGTCCACATTTTCAATAAAGTTCATAACTACATAAATTATATATCTGAAAGAAGGTATTACCTTTATTTTTAGTCACATCCTGATTAAAAGTCGTAAAAAGATAGAATTATATATTATATATATAAAGTACAGCTGAGAAAAAATGTTCAATATCTATACTAATTAAGATATTTATGGTACAGTTGTAAAAATTCATCCAAAACTGAACAAAGGGAGGGAACTGGCAATAAAGGAAAAAGTGAATGTGATAACACACAAAGAATGCAAGAGGACAGCAGAGGTTCTTTGAATGTTTTACAGATCCCTGAGGTATCAGATATTGAAAGAGAAACTGTGGTTCCTTGGTAAGTTATAAACATTTTGTATTGATAATTTTTTTGTACTTTTTGAAATTATAACCACAAAATAAATATGTTATTGGACTTCCTATCAAGTCAAAACCAATATGTGTTAGCACAGTGTTATATATAAATATTAAAATGACCAATACCATTTTTGCCATAAATAGTTGAAGATTTCTCTTAAAATATATAGGATGGTCCAAAATTATCTTTCCTATTTTAAAATGTAGTAATTAAGTAAATAAAGAAATACAACCATGCAGATTTCAACATTTTGTAGCCAAACTCAAACAGTTATTTTTTTCACTCCAGTGAGTAGCATTACCCCGTAAAATGGAAAATGTGCATAAATAGGCTCAACAGATTATATGAAATTTAAATGTGCTTAAGCTGTAGAGCATTATGATTGTAGGCACTTAGATTTTATATTGAGGGAATGCTCAATATATAATAATTAATATTGATTTCACTTGTGCATTTATGAAAATGCCTTAACAACATTAATTTTAGTTAAATATTTGTGTCAGTCATTATAGTACTAAAGAAGTTTGAGTAGGCTATATCAAAATGATTGCGAATATGAAAATCATGTGACAACCATGGCTGATGTAAAGGTGCAGTGAAATGTATCAAATTACATTTTGATATTTTGCTACTGAAAACTGATTACTCATGTGAAGGGTATGTAATAGCTCTTTCTGATGCAAAATAATCATACACTTAGATAGTAAAGATGTGTTAAGATTGAAGCTTGTACTTAGTGGGTTTGGAAAACAAAGGAGTATGGAACACCTTGGGGCACCAGGACCATCCTGCAAAAAGTTGTACACCATTCATAGTAAGTAAAGTGCAGAAGGCAATAGTGCACAACGTGATCAAGAAGGATCTCTGTCTGGAAAAATGACATAAATCATATTTACCAAAGTTGTATTGATGACATTTCCATTCAACTGTCTTATATCTGAAGGACTGGCAGAATGAAAGAGTTATACATGCTATTCCATTCAAGTTGTGAACAAAGAGCCTATACCTTTTCCTGCTATTGAAAATTCAAAAAGACTGGGAGACTATTGTCTCATGCACTAGATTAGTTATGGATAGCATGCAGGGAGGAATAGTGTGCTTTGGACATGACAGAGCCTTTCACAATGGGAACTACACTTCAGGGCTATTGTCAAGATACATGGCCATCAGATAGAGGATGACTGGACTGTAACATGTTGAGGCTCCAAAATAGTTTTGGTATAATGCACTCAACCTCTGTACTTTATACTGAAAAAATTTATAAAGATATCAAGCTTTTCAGTGAGCTTTATACATGCACATTTTTCCAATCACTTGGGTTTATATATACATATTAAAAAGTATTAAGTTCACATTTTTCATCAAACCATTGTATAATTACTTGGGTAATGCAGTTTCTTTTCAACTCTCTACCCAGGTTTTTTAATAAGACTATTTTTATGCTTTTTCATTTTTAATGTTTCAATTTTGCAGATGTAGTATAAAATGAGTTACGTTCACATAAGATTATATAACTCATGACAAATTGAGTACCGCAATCTGGACTTTCTTCAACTCTCTTTAGTAAAGCTAGGTTGGTGGTAATATTCCCCTTTTTTCCAAGTATTTTCATTTATACAGAAACTAACAAAATTTCAAATATCACTAAAAGTGTTAAGACAATAATGTTTTTTTTCGTTTTCTCCTTTACAATACTAATTGACGGATTAACCAAAATTTGAGAACTAAAACTTAATTTGCTTTGTTTCTTTCTTTTTTTTCAGTCTATGTTATGAAGAACCAGAAATCATTGATAACATTAGCAGAAGAGAAATAATGGAACACTGGGCTGTCAAAAACAGAACATTGTATGTAAAAAACAATTGTATTCAGACATTTTAGCTTTCATATTGATAATTTACTGTGTAAATCTTAACTCTAATGTTACTGTAAAGTAACTTGAACATACAAATGCAAATTTTAGCTTTGGGGCAGGTTGAATTTTTTTGTCATACAGTAAAGAAAAAGATTTTAAATAACCTAAATTGTGAAGCTGTGACAGATATTAACCCCCTTTTGTTACAGTAGTCTCAGATTGAGTTAATTTTATACAGGTACATTGATTTGATATTTTATTTGAGATAGGTTGAGGGGCAAAGGTATTAAAATTAGGTTCGTGTGTCTGTGTTTCTTCACATGTATCTCAAAAACTAATAGATCGATATACATGAAAATGTTACACAAGACGGGAAGTCAGTATAGGCCAGTGCTTCCCAAATTTGGTCTAGATCCAGACATTTTTTTCTATAATGGAGAGATAAGGCATTTTTGGATTAATAACTCTGTAAAGTGTGATCAGATTGGTACCAAATTTCATGAGCACATTAAGGTTGAGACTCCTCTTCACACTACAAAAAATTATCCAGATTGTCGATCATTCTGGATCTAAGAAAAATTTTCTGAATTTTCGAAGGTGAAATTTGAAGCTGTCCAATATAAATACATATAATTTCGAAAAGGAGCGGCTGAGTGAGGGTATGCAATCTCTGTGATTGCTTTTGTATTTAATTAGTTAAATTGTATTTCCAACAGGAAAAGTAGGGCCTTTAGTATGAAAAAATAGGGATAATTTAAATTTCATAGGATACTTACCAGTGTTTTTATACAATTACCTACTTTGTCATAACTATTAAAACATTAAGAAATGCATTGAAAGATTCATACATAAACTGATTTATGGGATGGCTTTCTCTAATTAGAACCAAGCTTCACATGAAACAGTTATTTGTTTACCTCCCTGTGCATGTTTAACAGTTGCTATTTGACACTATAATCACAAGCTACTGTCTATTAACAAGTACTATAGAAACAGTGAAATTGGTCATTTGGCAATGGCTGACACCAACATGAAGGTTCATGACCAATACTGTCTACACAGGTTACCCATTAGTGCTGAAATTTTTTCCATGTAGCATTTTAGTTTTCTACATCACCCTGAAAATATAACAATTGTTAAAGAAGCTATCTTCAGCATCATTGCTCTGGACATGTAAATTGTTAAAGTAATACAACACCAAGTGCATATATATTAGATTATTGTAAGATTAATATCTGTTAAAACTATCAAAGCCTAGCTATTTCAGGACTTGAAAATCAAACATCCAGCTGAAATTCATGCAAATAATAACCATGACAAGAAACACAATTTAACAAAAGCTGACATATATGCTTCAACTTGAAAACTCAAAAGTTAAATTAGCATTCAATGATTCCCAGTTATACTTCATTGGGATGGAGGTTGTGTTCACTTTAAAGCTTCTTACAAAAAGCAGAGAAGGCAGTTTGCTTATCTTACAAAAGAAAGTATCTGTGATGCTACAAGAAGCTATAACTTGTGCAACAACCAGCTTCTGAAGCACTTTGCTATCTTAAGTTAATAATGGTGGAAGTTAGGCTCTACTCACAGTATGTTTTGCAGTAAGTTTTGTATTTCATGTTAAACTAAACCAAATATGGAGTTAAAAATAGAAGTTTTGCCTAAAAATAAGGAAGGATGTATTGCAAGGCCTGATCATGTAATATATTAACCAATTCTTTATGCTGTGGTCCGCAAAGGCAGTACTAGAATCTTTCCAGTGAATTTAACTCGTAATGCCAAAGTTGGAGGCCATCTTTTCTCCCTAGTTCACACATGGATGTGTTGAACTAAACTTCTTGTAATCAGATATTAATAACGTATAAAGCTTAAAAAAATTGAAAATCAAAATTCCTACCAGTCAACATCTTTGTCATCCAGCTGTTTAAGACAAAACCTATGTAATCACCACATGTTTAATTCATTGGGTATTCTTTCCAAGAACATGTATCAAAACTGAGCCTTATTTTTTTTGGTCAGTTATAATTAGATGATAATTTTTTCTTTTGTGTTTGCATAAAAATTAAATGCTTATGAATATAAAGATTTTTAAAAGATGAAAAGAACTTTATTTTCATTTTAATCTTTACAGAGATGAAAATACATCTTGCATAGGTAAAATCTACAATAAATTGATGAACCTAGACAGTGCTACTTTACGAGAAAGGTCCCGCTTTGGATTGAGTGTCGTCTTGGTAATTGCTGGAATCCTCAGTCTTCTTGTGACATTTTTACCATGCCAAGCTATAGCAAGTACTTACCAAATGTACCCTATTTCAGTAGAGGAGATTGTTGAAATCTTATTTGCCCCTTATTTAACCCTAGAGTCCCCCAAAAATATAATTTAACAGTAACTTTCTTTCATTGTTAGACAAGTAGAGTAGCAGTGTACTATTATATAATGTAAATAATAGGCAGATTTAGCAAACAGGAAATGTTTTGTTGCCATAACCGTTTATTTCAGATCACTTATTTTTTTTATGCATATTAATGAAACATAATGTGGAGAAATAATACAGATTAAACAGAATTTAGTTATTTCTATAAGAAATACTGAGTAAAAGTAGTATTTAAAAACATTATTTAACTTTTAATAAACTGAAAGTTATAGCGTAATGAATGTATTAAATGCTTCGTGGTGACTACAAATTGCTAGCTGTCAGCAGTTATTTTTTATTATAGTGTATTTTATTGAAATGTTTTAATGTGCATTTTAAGTTGTATGACATCATCAGCGTAATGTATATAGTAGTTATTTTTTAGTGTTATGTATTTAACTGCAACAAAGTAATACACACACACACAAGTACATGATTCTAATAAATGACAAATCTACCAGTGTCATATCCTAGTAAAATTAAAATGTATTATACTTCTATTTTTGTAAGTTTGAAAATCTAATGCTGTAACAAACATTATCCTTGTGGACTGTTTAAATCTATTATACTTTTATATAGTACGCTGACATGTAATCTTGTCAGTATGAGAAGAAAACATTTTTCCAAAAGTAACGTCACAGGTTAGATTATATTTTATTTGAAGCATTTATTTTGCTTTTTATATATGTAATATATTTGTGTCATAAGTTTTCAGTCTTCAGAAGTATCAATTATAACATAGCACGACCAGCTACCAGTTGGATTTTTTTTTCGTACGTAAGTCCTAAAAATATACAATATGTTTATGAAATATTCCTAACCATCATTAAGTCCCAAGAATAGTTACTACGATCCAGGGGTTCCTAAAATTATTAACTTAATACTATTTGCAAAGAAACATTTTATGGTTATTTAAAAATTTGGTAAGTACATGCTAAATTACTAACGATTAAATACAAGAAACTTGAGCTGATGCAGTGTCATTGCAGCTTTGTCACCTCTTTTTTTTTTATTGTTATTTTTTTTATTGTTATTTTTTTGGCCTGTTCGAATGTTAATATGAATATAAGATTTATTTTGTATAAGTAATACTGTTATACATTCCTATATACCATCTGGTAACATGTTTGGTGTACTGTTTCAAAAAAGGGCACAAATTTGGACTCTTAAAGAGTATGAAGGTGGAATTGGATATTTATGTAGTGACTATATTGCAAAACTGTTTACATCTCTGTTGTAACCCACAATCTAAGTAAACTGTTAAATCTTTTATCAATCTATTTCAGTACTATTTGTTGTTGTGTTTCATATTACATAATCATGTTAAAATGTATCGAAATACTCAGTGTAATGAAATTTAAGTAAGGTTTTCTACATCATAAATACATATAATGTCTACGCAGTATAGCACTGTATGTAAAATGTTGAAATTGTGAACAGATAGAATATACAACTGCATACTATGTAACATTTGACACTAATTCTAATAGTATACTGAAAATTTTATTTTAATGCTTTTAAGGAATAGATTCCCAATCCAGTTAGAATATGTTACCAACACAAACTGATTTTTAACTTAATATTCAAAAAAACAATAACAGTGTTTAAAAGACAATTTTGACTACCTGTAGCTGTAAAAACATTATTAATCCAGATAACCTCATATAAAGGTATTTAGTATAATAAAATTCAAAAAGGAAAACAGTCTGTGATAACGGTTGATTGACTAATCCAGATTTTTATTATTTTAATATTTAAAGACAACACTCTTTTTAAAGTCTCATCTTTTAGTTTATTTTCTAAATGACATGCCAGAAAAAACAATAACATGCAACATTTTGGGGGGGAGAAAAACTAAAGAAATATAACAATCAGACTAACATCATTACACAAAACGTTTTAGCAATAGCAAGCAACAGTGATTAAACTAGAATTTTTACATACTATTTACAAACCTGTACAAAAAAATTATATGCAAGTTTCACTTCACTTAAGAAGCATATACAAGTTTTTAAACTCAGCAAATCTTGCCCTTTTGTGACCACTAGTTTCATCCTTGTTTTTCCTATCTTTACTCCTTTAAAATTCATGAGAGAACAAAGTGTTTACATTTTAAATGCATTAAAGCATTTATCATAACCAAGGAACCCCAAGCTTAAAACAATTTTATGACTAAGATAGTATATGTTTTGATGAATAATAAAAGTATCCAAATGTTAAAAATATATTTTAAGGTTTTACATTACTAACTATATGCAAGCAAGTTGCCATTCAGCAAAACAGAAGCATTTAGAAGTGTAATAATGGTAATGAATATATTTCTTACTCAGAAAAATAAGTCTATTTAATATTGGCATATATCTCCCATCTAATTATACGTGTATATAGTGATTTCTCCATGAAATCACATTCTGTACACACTAGAAGTTTGTTGCACTCATGCTTCGAGTAAATTTCTGGCCAACAAGCCTATTGAGTCTGGTCTCACTAGTTGATGGCTTCAATGGAATTCCTTGCAAACATCTTGCAGCTTCTTGCAATTGCCTAAAAATAATAACAAAAAAAAGTTTAAATACTCTTTAACATACAATCTTATGCAGCAAATATCTGTTAACTCTAAAATATTAACATCTATTTTCCAAGTTTTTATTTAATGAATCATATTCTTATTAGAATTTTTTGTAATACGAAGAGATTAATATCACAGTTTACTCAAGAAACTATCAACAGTAATGAACTGTTTTGGTCAAGTGTTTAAATGCTTCAAGATTAATAAGTTACAAATAGTATTAGAACCAATAAATCTGCTTTGCTGTGAATACTGCCAGAATCATTTGATAACTATGTATATTTTAGATGTTCTGCTGTTTCAACATTAACAAACAAAAATGATGCAAAAATGTAAGTCACTGATACAATAAATATTTACACATTGAATTCAAAGCTATTACAATACTAGAAATTATTTTCCAATTAAAAAAATGTCTTCAAATGTTGAGTTATTAGGTTATTACCGTATACCTTTTCAAAAAACTCAAGCAAATTATGTTTCAGTATAAAACGTCTTACCTTGAAAGAAGTTCATTTTTAAACTTCTCAGCATTTAGTTCTTTCCTTAGTTGAGATTTGGTTTTATTGGCATATGGTACTAAAACAGGATGCTGGGTGAGTGCAGCTGCTGAAGGTCTTAGTTCTGGGTCTTTCTGAATCATTTGCTACAATAAATATTTCAATATTTTATGTATTAATTTTGACATATAAAAATAAGCATATTTTTATTATTGTATCTTAAATACTTTAATATAATTCAATGTAGCACACATTTCAAGTCCTCTATGGAACAGCGGTAAGTCTACCCATTTACAATAGTAAAATCTGGTGTTCAATTCCCCACAGTGCACACAACAGATAGTCAAATATGGCTTTGCTCTAAAACAAACAAACAACAACAACAATGGGATTTCAACCACAAACTTTAAATCCTTCTGCAACCTATGGGAAGACAGCTTTCTGTTAACTCAAAACCGTGTTGTTTTTCCAATAAACCAACTTAAATGTCACATATGAACTAATTATAAACAACTAATATTGCTGAAAAACTTCTGAATGTTCACTACCAAATGAAGGTATCTGTTAAGTAATTGAATATATATAAAATTCTATGCCTCACAACCCATTTAAATTACACTTTTCAATCATATGTGCACATGAGCTGAGCAGAGGAGGGGCAGGCAACTGGCAGCACCCTCTATTACAAGAGATTTTTCTGGTTATTTGAACTGGAAAATGGGATTGACTGTTGCTTCAATAACATGCCCACAACTAGAAATAAAAAGTATGTTTAATGACATTGCACATCAAACCCCAGACCCTCCAGTCTGTAGCTTGACACTAACCACCAAACCATGTGCAGCTCAAACATTTAAATTAAAAGGATTTGAAATTGATGCAAGTATACTAAATATTTTCTAACAACACATTTGACTTAATTCAACATGTGTCCTGCTTAACCCTAGAATGCCAGCATGCTTAGTTTAGCATACAGGTTTAACTTGTGACCCCACACTGGTGTTCTAGTGTAAAAAATGATAGAATCTAATACAAACATATATTTCTAACAAAGTTTCCACTTTCGGACTAAAAACGTTTTTTTTATAAAGGTAGGAATTCATTTTTGATTAAAATCATCTTTAGTAATTAAATAGAAAATTAGACCCCTCCTGTCACATCCTCTCTTTCATTTCATTATATATATTACCAATATAAATCAAGATTTTCTTCTATCAAATGACATATTGTATGTTATGTTCTGAACTGTTAAATGTCAATTTCATTCAGAGTACGAACAATGTTCCCGTGGGAAAGTTAATGACTAGCTTGGATGAATTTGCAATGGCTTTTGTCGCATAGTTAGAAAGCCAGGAAAATTTTGAGAGGTAAGTGAA